CACGATGACCTTTGTGGAAGTGACCATTTTCCTACTGTTTTAACATCTGTGACACCATCTGATGTACCTCCGTCATCCAGATGGAATTTTACTAAGGCCAACAGGGCTTCATATGAAATCCTTTTTACTAACATACTAAAACCTGATACTTTTCTAAATGTTCCCAACCCGATACAACTTTTCTCTGATGAACTGATGAATGTATTCCCGAGTCCTCCGCAAATCCTGACATTCGTAAACCATGGTTTAACAACGACTGCAAACAAGCTAGGAAGACCAGGAAAAAGGCTGAAAAGTATTTCCGACGCAATAATCTAAATAAATTCAAAATTGTAAATGTTAGCTAAAACCAGGCGAACCTTTAAACAAAACAAACGCAAATGTTGGCAAAATTATGTGCCAAAATTTATTCACGTACGCCGATGTCCAAGGTGTGGAACATGATTAAAAAAATTAAAGGTAAGGGTAATAAATCAAGCATACATCATCTTAAAAATGGCGATCAGTTGTTAACTGATAAATCAAAAACTGCAAATAAACTATGTATCTAAATTTCAAAGATACCAAACGCAGCAGGAAAAGAAAATTTCCAGTCATGAGCTCCATACTGCCCTGGGGCAAGCTCATGATACTGCTTCAGGAGCTGATAACATACATTATCAACTCCTGAAACATTTACCAGAAAAATGTTTAGAAACCCTACTGTTAATAATTGATGATATTTGGACATCAGGTAAATTTCCTTCTTCATGGCGTGATGCCATTGTTGTTCCCATACCAAAACCTGGACGGGATCATACCCATCCATCAAATTATAGACCAATTTCATTGACTCGTTGCGTTTGCAAAACCTTGGAACGTATGGTCAAGAATAGATTATCATGGTACATGGAATCTAATAATTTAATAACAAATATTCAATGTGAATTCCATAAAAATTGCAGTACCATTGACCATTTAGTTAGATTGGAGTCATTCCTCGAGAATGCCATTTTTAACAAACAGCATGTAGTGTCTATCTTTTTCGATCTAGAAAAAGCATATGACACTACACCGAAGCAAGGTATTTTAAAAGAAATAATTATCCCTTGTAATGGAAAAAACAATAGTCAAGCAGGACATGCTTGACTGTGTTTTTTTCTTCACAAGGGATACAGAATGGAGGATCCTCACCTTTTAACAAATATTCATGAGTATAACGAGAATGGCCAATACGACAACGTCTTAATACAATTTCTTCAAATCTTGACTGACAACCCAAGTAGGTATAGCCTATATTTGCTTTAATTGCATGTAATTTATTTATACCCACTTGAGTGTCCCACTTCTTCTGCATTAGGTCTTTTATATAGCATCTAATAACAGGTTTTTAGTCACTGTATGGTAGAAGAAGTGGCATCACAGATTTGTTGAGAGCTGCCATTGCTGCAGCATCAGCCATAGTGTTACCTGTGATTCCAACATGACTGGGCAACCAGCAAAAGACGATGTCGAATTGGCCAGTAGCAAGGTCATTATATAATTCTAAAATATCGTAAATAAATGGATGATGTGAAGAGCTAGATTTTATTGCCCGTAGACACGACAATGAATCTGAAAAGATGAACCGTTTACAACTGGACTGTTTTTGGATATATTAGTTAATATTGCTTTTGCTTCAACCGTGCAAATTGAGCTATGGTCTGATAAGTGGGATGATACGGTTTTTGACCAAATGACAACGGCACTGGAGACAGTGCTACCGTCCTTGGATCCATCTGTAAAATTGGAACGGGGGGATTCATATTTTGTTCTCACTTGTATATATTTTGCTGATATATTAATTGATTGGTGTCTGATTTTTTAAATTGTGTAAGAGTAAAGTCCACCTCCGGTCTGATAAAAGCTAATGCTGCAGCTAAAGCTGCGCTTGACAAACTGACTGATCCCGTACAGTGATTTCAAACCAACCATCAAGGGTTATACTCGGGATATCATGCAAAAGAGGTGAGACGCCCAGGTAGGAAGCAGTAAACTTCACGAATTTAAGCCATCAATCGGTCCTACCTATTTGGATTGTAAGTCAAGACATGACGAGGTCGTATTACGACGATGTCGTTTTGACCACGGTCGGTTGCTAAAGACAGATGAGGACGAACATCCTAAGTGTATACCTTGTGATGAAAGGTTCACCATCAAGCATATATTGCTTGACTCTGTGGACTTTGCAATCACAAGAGATTCACATTATCAAAGCATAAACCTGAAAGATCTCTTTTCCAGTGTCAGCGGGAATCTCAACTTGTAACTTGAAAGAAATTGGTCTGCATAATAAATTTTAAATATGTATGTGAATAATTAAATGCTTGTTTTTAAATTTGGTATGATTCAATTATTTACTGACTTTATTGAAGGCTTTGTCCAGGGGGTTAAAGTATCGTAAAATTATTGTCCTCCTGTGTGACACGTAACCCTATCATAATAGATGTAACTATCATCAACCAGTGTTTTTAAGCCAACTCATTGATGAGTATTTTTCATTCCTTGCTACTATTGTGCACAACCACCAGTAGCTAAAATGATGACGTAAATCCTGCTGGGGTACCATGCAGGAAGCAGAGGTACTGTAGGTCCCAAGTGATTCCCAGCGAGGTGGCCTAGCTTTGATTACTGGTGTTTTAAAACTGAATAAACTATATTCCCAGCGAGGTGGCCTAGCTTTGATTACTGGTGTTTTAAAACTGAATAAACTATATTATTATGCCCAAATATGTTTGATAAATTGTATACTCAACAACAAAAGTTCCTGTGACACCAATATTTTAGTGTATTTTTCAAACAAGTAAAATTTAATTTTCAATATTGTACTACATGTAAGGAATCAAGTCACAAAAACGCAACTGCTACAGAAAAGCATGCATTCCATGCAAAAGTTGACTTTTATGTAAGCCCCATGCATTTCACCACCCAAGAATGTGTATAAAAACATGTGCGTTAACGGGATTCAATATGCATTGTTTAGCATCGTGCTGACAACAACAACTGAGAAAAACAACAAAATTACGCAATTATTCAACATTACGAATTGCCACGGATGTCCGAAAATGAGCGTCTGCGAGCCATTGGTATGCTTGAAGCAGGATCGAGTCAACGTGATGTTGCAAGACAATTTAACGTCCATAGAAACACCATTTGGTGTTTATGGTAACGATGGCAACAGACGAATGCAGTCAGAGACCATCCTCATAGTGGCAGGCCACGCGTAACCAATAATTGACAAGACAACTGGATTCGAACAACAAACCTACTAAATCGATTCCAGCCAGCAACAGTGACTGCAAGAAGCATCCCTGGCCTTCGATGTGCAGGGATTGACGACAGGAATCCACCGTCAGGCAAGTCTACAGTGGTACAGACAGCATCTAACGCTTGATGGCCATGCAGTGGGATAACAGTAAGACAGAAGACCCTTTTGATAGTGGTAGAGGTAAATCTCAATGGACAGCGCTACCGCGACCAGATGATCGGCCCTATTGTTCTACTGTTTTTGCGTCGTCATGGCCCAGGCATTACCCTTCAAAATGACGCCCGGCCTCATATTGCTCGACTTGCTTAGGACTCTTTTCAACAACAAAAACCGTGAATTTCATCCCCTGGCCGGCTCGCTGCCCTGATCTCTCACCAATAGAGCACATGTGGGATGAGATGGATTGGCGCCTTCGACGTCAACCACGTGTTCCACAGACATTCCAGGAACTTCGAAACATGCTCCAGCAGATTTTGATAGATATCCCACAGGACTTTGTGCGACGCCTGGTCCATTCCATGAGAGGAAGATGTGTTGCTTGCGTCGCAACCAGAGGTGGACACACACGCTATTGATTTGTAAATTGACATTTGGGCATGTTCATGTTTTTATATGACATCACGCATTTTCTGTAGTCAGTATGGCAAATTAAACCATTTGAACACTTACAGGAATCTTTTATTAGTTGCAAAACGAAACTGTTTCAGATTTGGTGAAAAACATAGCTTTGCATTAAATCTTATTCAATGTCACAGGAACTAAAAGTATAACTTTGTATTCATGAACAAACTATGAATGTATCAACTTGGCCTCATCGCTATATGGCTGAAATGATGCCGATGCAACATTAAATATTATCTCACTCACTCACTATGCTTCTGAAACTAATGCTACACGTATTTGAGTCAAAGTCAACTTTGTTGCCATGAAAACACCCAAAATGTTTTCTTAGAAAAACCATAACATCAAAAGGCACCAGTTTAGCTTGTGTTTGATAAAGATATGCAAAGTATAAAAATTAAATATTAAGCGGTTTATGCTCCGGGAACGAAACTACACGGACGCATTTTTTCCTGTGTACCCCTCCCACTTCATGGCTTGGGATAAAACACCAATGTTCTTTATCCCTCAATAATGTGTTACCTCAAAGTAAACAAACTGATGGACAAAAAAAAGTATAAAAAACTGGATTGGATCAAAACAGTTCAAACATTGTCAAAACATTACTCCGTTGAAAACAGTGGCCGAAACACAACAAACATCAAATTCCAAAAACTGGACCATCGAAAAACCATGTCTTGTTTGTTTCAGTTTGGCAACCAAAACACGTGTGTATACTTCTTTTGCCTGGCAGACTTTGACCTAAGTCTTGGAATCTAAATGAGGATTTGAGAGTTAAATTTGTTTGACCTTTATATATTCTTTTGGAGGTTCGCCATACAAACATGTTTTTCCCTATTTTCCCGAATGAATTTAGATTCACTCCTATGGTATGCCAACTGACTGTACTAAAATCAAGTCACATAAATATTGGCATGTAGGAGGTTTTCTGCTGCATACATTTTCCTATAATAAATGTTGACTTGCCGTTGATATAAATCTAAGAGGCAAAACCTTTTCCACATAAACATAGGGGATTTATGCTAATGGATTTACTCATTGACATCAAACATTTAAGCATTGCAAAATAATAAAAAATAAAACTGATGCGTACCTGGTCTTCATCTTTAGTGCCAGTGACCTATGCTCCTCATCAACTACAACACGTGGTGCTGTCAAATAATAGATGTGTAAAACAATTGTAATGTCGTTAACAGAATGTCCCCGTGAATAGTCTCCGCTGTGAAGCACAAGTGCCTTGCCTCACTCATCAACATCACTCTAAAAGTACACTGCAATTTTAACCAATTGTTCAATCAATTATCTACTTATTTTTAAATCCAATTCTAATGCACAAAGAGTAGACATGAGTAAAAACTTGGCCGCAATTTCTGGTTACATCAAAACGTGCTAATGAGTGAGTGAGTGAATCAAAACTAACCACAACACCCAATCTGTGAAATAACACCATTGAGACGAAAGTGGCTTCTTGTTTTTTTGTCAAACAGACATACTAAATAATGATTGCTGCTATGCCTAACAAGTAAGATGCATGTACCCTGTCCACTATTTGTCATTAGTGTTATTGATCATTGCCGGCGAAATACATGTTCTCGCTGAGACGTGTTGTGCTCCTAATTATTTGTGTATGAAATCGTATTGATATGTTTCTATAATACTGCTACTTGGTCTGTCTGGATGTTCATACTTCGTTTTGTCAGGGGATACCAATTACCACATTACACAAAGGTCAAATATCGTATTATGGCAAAAAATCTTTATATGCAAAAAAAACAACGTGTATGTATTTCTGCCTACCACATTCTGGCTGCATATCAAATTTTTGATAATGTTACATATAAAATGGGTACATATGATATGTTTAATATTGCTGTCTTGGCGGCCATCTTGAAAATCCCATCACAAACATCTGCGAGCTTGCTTTTAGAAACAAAAGCTGGGATTATAGATTGCAAAGATGAAGCTTCATTGGCCTTGGAGGTGATGTCCTAAAGACATATTGACACACCATGACATAAGCTCACTTGACTGACAGTCAGGTTAGCTAAATCGTAAAACCATTTAAATCCATTAAATATACTTACGACACATAGGATGTGCAAGTTGATTGTTCACTCTGACATTCTTCTTTTTGACTTGTAGAGATGTATTTAACGATTCCAGTGCTACTATCTGCGATTCAAAATCAAAAGGTTGCAGAAAGGTTTTTAATCGTTCTTCAGTTATTTCTATGTTCAAGCAAACTAGGTCTACCAGTCTCTCGCATCTTTCTTCATCCTTCATGTATAAACTGTGCCTCACAACAGCTGATGCCAAGGCTCTTCTAGCAGCTACAACCTCTGTCAATTCTGCAAAAATCAACACTATTAACGCAAACAGAGAGACAGAAATTATACAGCTCTTAAAAATCTTAACAAATCAAACAAGTAGCACTGCACCACAGTATGTCCAGGGAAGTGTCATCCGAGGACAACGTTTGAAATTGACGTATCAATTACGCAGGTCAATAAATACACATCCCCAGACGTTAATATGCATGGGGGTTATATTTTAAACCATTTTTATGTAATCTCATGACTATGTAGTAGCATCAAACATGTTTGTTTTAAGGAAAGGATTTATTTGAGTCTTTGCCTCAACACCCGCCACCCCTAGAATGCTTGTCGTAAAAGGCGACTAACGGGATCGGGTGGTCAGGCTCGCTGACTTGGTTGATGCATGTCATCGTATCCCAATTGCGCGGATCGATGCTCAGGTTTGATGGTGTTCAGGATTAATATAAACGTAAAACATCAGTCATATTCATAGCCTGTAGTTTTCATTCCATGACTTTCCTCGAGTTTCTACTCACAGATTTTAACTTTCTGAGAAAATGTACAAACCTGCAACCCAAACGTGTGTATATATATATATGGGAACAACATGTATTTTTAACAGTAGGATATATACTCATCAGAAACATAGTACCTCAACATACCGCAATTGTTGTTTCACTCTATTCCTCTAGATCAAATTACAAGCATGCAATTTGTTTTTCCCGATTCACCTTCAAACTCTGTAAATCAATATCTGTACAAATAAGGAAACCATTCAACATGATGTATGCGAAGGTATTTAGTCCAGTTGAGATAAAAAAAAATCAATCAAAGAACTCGATACTTTCAATTATTTAAAACACAATTCTTTTCCAACTGGAATAACGTTTTCGACTCCAACAAACCCAGACCCGCCACCACGTCAACCCAGACACACCTTAAATATGGAGGTGTTTTGCAGAGACGGTCGACAGACGGCCGACCGAGAGAGGCAAACATCACCAGCAACACAGTGAAAAGGTCCCGAGAGCCAGAGTAGAACCATTTTGTACTGACAGAAATAAATCTCTGTTCCTGAACAAAGAAACCATCCCCAGGTCCGTTTTGTCCTGGAGCCAATGAATCCAAGTGGTGCATTTCAGCATGTTTGTAAACCTGAATCATTTGTACTCATCACGCCGAGCTTATTCTCTACCTTCGTTTTAGTCAAACATAGTATAATACCCCCTTTGTGCTGAGCAGTATATAATAAATACAAAATATGATACACTTACCTGTTCGAAAAAGTATCGTACCCCCTTTCCACGATGACAAGAGTACGTCGCCTTCTTGTACATTCTCATCAGCAACATTTGTGCCATAAGTGATCGATATGGAAATGTTTTGTGCGCACCTGAAAACATAGATGTAATTGACCCGTGATGATCCGGGGTAGAATAGGTCTTCAGCAACCCGTGCTTGTCGTAAAAGGTGACTATGCTTGTCGTAAGGGATGACTAACGGGATTTGGTAGACAGGCTCGCTAACTTGGCTGATGTCAATCACTGGATTGTCTGGTCCAGACTCGATTATTTACAGACTGCCGTCAAAAAGCTGGAATATTGCTGAGTGCGGCGTTAAATAACAAACAGACATACAGTGGATGTAATTTAAAAAGGAGGTTTCAGTTTTTTTAGCTTTCCCTAAGAAAATCAACATCCCATTTCATCGCACATGTATGTATGATGCATGAGAAATACCTGGATTAATCAATTCAAATAGAGCCCGATGCCTAAAAGGCTAAGAACCCATTTAGAATTAGATAGACACAATTTTTATGGATAACAACTTTTTTAATACTGTGAAAAGCGACGTTTCGGTATAGATCCTTATACCGTTGTCAAGCAACCGTTGCTTATGAACAAAGTTGTTATCCATAAAAATTGTGTCTATCTTGTCATTCGTCAACTTCTAAGTAATGCCTATCAAACAATCCATTTGTAATTGTTCTTGTTCTTCGTCTTTTTATTTTTATGATTATTAATATCACTTGTAGTTTCCCGCCGATTTTTGGACCACCTTTAACTCAACAACAAGTTGACAGAATGTCTGCAAAAGGATGAAGAGAACATGGACCAATGAGAACTGGAACTAGTACATATTAAAAATCCAGACACATAGGCCTCTGGACAAAGTGCAGATAATTCAAAGTTAATCCCAGAAAGTGACTTTTACCATCAACTATCTCAGAAACGTATAGTCTGATGGCTTCCAAATTAGGCAAACGGGAACGGCATCAATTTCAACTCGGCGTCCCGTGGCGCTAATTCGCATTGTTTGGCAGTCATATTGGATTAAAGCTTATGTATTTCGCTATTTTTCACAGTAACTGTCTGCTACAATGTACTATCAAACTATCAAACTAAACACTTCCTAACTCTACATACTTCGTGTCCATGCACCATTCTGTGATGCTATCAGAAACATGTTGAGTAATATCTTTGATTGCCGTCATTTACAGTCCTACTTCTGGGTCAAAGTTGTCATGTAAAACTTTTCTTCACAATGTGTTTGGAATGGAAAGTGATCTTGTAATGCAACTGCAGAAGCTCTTTCGTATATTGCTTTTGCCTGCTTCAAAACGGCTGTTCTTGATCAAAGTTACGCTATGTGGCGGACATATCGGATTCAACATGTTCAGAGCTCATTTGACGTTTTTTTCGGGTAGACAACTTCTGAAAGAGTTTCGCTTTAAGATATGTTGACTGGTTACTGTCGTTTTGATTTTATAGTTTTGCAACTTCGCTGTTTGTAGCAACATTATATGATGGACATGTTTTTTTCTGAGATGCATTTCAAAATCAGCTTTGGTTAGTGGCCCTATTGAAATAAAGTAGTTTGGAAGGAAGAGAATTTATGAGTGAGTGAGTTAAAATTTAACGTCGCATCGTCATTATTTCAGCCATATAGCGACGAGACCAAGTTAATTATGTTAACAATTGAGTCACTTATGGAAAGTAATATCTAAAATCAATTCATGAAACATACACTTGAGGATGCATACTATATTTAAAAACAATTTATGAAACATATTTGACTTTGCCACTTGGTGGGATGCGTTTATCAACAATTACAGAAGGCTCTGCCCCGGAGGTTAATGTACCGTAAAATGTTTGTCCGTCCCTCTATGTGACACGTAATTCTTATCATAATCGATTTAACTATCTTCAGCCAGTGTGTTTTGAGCCACTTATTGCTGAGCGGTTGTTTTATTATTGGTTAGTATTGTGCACAGCAACCAGTCCCTAAAATGATAATTTAAATCCTGCAGGGGTATAGTGCAGGAAGCTGAGGCAACAAGTCTCCATGATCCCCAGCAACTGGGCCTAGCTTTGGTTGCTGGTGGCTATGAGACCGTGTCATAAATAATATTATTATGTTACATGATGCTTAACAAACTTGGTATTTTAAATAACTTTGTATTCATGATGCACTTGCGTTTTTTTATATAAACTTTTCTCCTAGCTATGTGGCTGAAATAATGCCAATTCGATGTTACAATATTTCAATGATTAACAATAAATGAACGCTTTCTTCGAAAGTAACCATGTGTGCTTTGTTCATTTATACTTTGAAAAACAGTACAACAGCACAAAAAAATGTGACATTCCTGTCAACCTACTATTGAGATAAAAGGTCAGGTCGTTAGACTGGAAATATATAAGACATTGTAATTATGTTAGCTGTATGGGGCATGCCTTTTCCTAAATAGGAGGAGATCACATCATTAAATCCGAAGAGCCTAAACCTTTGTCCTTAAGACAGTTGGAGACAAAGGGAATAACGGTATACCAGTTAAGACAAAACCTGCGAATCATGGATAAAAAAACTGAGGTTGAGTCAGCTCAGCAATATTCAAGCAAAAGTTTACTACGGCCTTGCTGATGTTAATCAATTTCAATTTCAATTTCAACTTCTTTATTAAAAACTAGTTGAGAATATATAAAAGTCATAAGTATTAGTGAACAACACAATGTACGAATGGACTAGAGATCGTCAGTAACTGAAGGGAGATCACCATACTAGAGACCATGGGGAATTACAGTGCCTTTGCTTCCTGCATGGAAACCGGCAGGATTTATATAATCCCTTCACTCACTGGCGACAGTGTACCAATTAAGCCAAAGATTAAAATGACGAATATTCTACGTTTAAAAGCCTGGCATGCATAAAAATACTTCGAATGATACGGGACTTTTAGGGGGACAATAATTTTACGCTACTTCAACCCCCCTCGAGGGTACAGCCACTAACAATCTAAGCGCTACCGATTTTTAAAACCATACAGAAAATACATCACAATTTTTGAATAAGCCCTTGACCGTTTTTACGCTGCAATATTTATCCCTTGTGATGCAAAAATCAATACAGTCAAGCACGACATGCTTGACAGTGATTCTTTCATCACAAGGGATAGAAAACGGAGTATCCTCACCTTTTAACAATACTCATGTGTATATCTCGAATGGCCAATACGACATCGTCGCATAATGACCTCTTCAAATCTGGACTGACAACCCAAGTAGGTGTATCCAATATTTGGTTTAATTGTAATGTAACTTATTGATACCTACTTGGGTGTTCCACGTCTTTTGCATCAGATCACGGATGTAAGATCTACTTATAGGTTTATAATCAATGTATGGGATAAGAAGTGGTCTGGTGATAAGAGAAGATTTTGTTCAAATATGAAGTAAGTTTTGTAAATTCTATAGTTGCAAGCTTTGTAGTTTTTTTGAATAAATTGATCTTTTAAATTGTTTTAATTTTTTTAGACTAACCAGCCGTAAATTACATAATCCGGTTAATTAAAAACTACTCAAAGACTACACCTGTTTAATAAGCTCTTAATGAAGTCTATCAAGTTGTTTCTATTGTTATTGGTATTATATATATAGAATTAATGTATTTCAATATTAGCGTTGAAAATGTTATATAACAGGTCAATTATTACATATATGTTTATGCCAAAACGAAATCATTCTCTTATATATGATTATACTTATTGGAAATCTCCCCAAATCACCATACAGCATATAATCTGGTGTTGAGTTAGTAAGATTGAAGGCAAGTTTATTGAGTTTCAAATGTACTCTTTCCAATACTGAATGATGAATTTCGTATCCCCAAGTTTCACAACCATAGGTTAGAATAGGCATGATTAGAACATCAAAGACTTTGAGAAGTGTAGTTCTATCAGCGAGTTTTTTAATTGCACATTCAAAACGACAGTTTCGATTGAATAAAATACCAAGATAGACATAACTATTTACAATTTCTAAATCTAAATGATATTAAATAAGTCAAGCAAATTTCTGGAATGTATTTAATATTTCATATTCAACGAATTTAACGAATTGAGAAGTTGGTTTCAATCCTCATGAATCATGTCAAAAATAAAAGCAACCTGAAACCACAATGTATGTAGTTAATGAAGTCGAACGCTTACCTTAGTTCTTCCAATTCTTTCTTCACTTCTGTGTTTGACTGTAGAGCTGTGTGTCCAAGCAAAGCTAACCTGTAGGCTAGTTCACAAACGAGAAGCATTGTACATTCTGAACATTTGAGATACACAGTTTTGGCCCCAGTCTCCTCCATGAGTTCTATAAAGTCTTCAAATGTGTCCTCAATAAGATAAACGGTTTCTCCAGGAACTGCATAAAAACGATGAACGAACTTGCAGGTTGCAAGCTTCTGAAGAAAGGCTTCAATATACAATCTATGTTTTGCAAGTAGCGGAGGAGGACCTTTTCTCTTTGCCAGTTGCTCAGCATCGGCAATTTGGCATTCGAATTTGCCTCTGATTTGAAAGTCTTGAGGGACTACAACTCCAGACAAGGCTTTGAATTCAGCTTCTGTTTCGCTGATCCATTCTTCCAAGTTTTTTTTCATTTGCAAATTGTAATTGGATAGATGAGTCTTCAATGTTTTGTCTTTTGCCACAGTCAACATAATGACTGACTTGTCTTTTGGAAAAATGCACATGTCGCAAATCAACTTCGTCTTTATAGTGTGAAATTGTTGTTGATTTCCAAGAAAAAGACATTGAAAAGACGATCCAACATAGATAAATGCTCCAAGTCGATATGTTTCCTCAAGTACTGACAACATCTTTGGGTACTCACTTGACAACATCGTATGCATACATTTAGGATAGATGACAAATTCACCTGAAACATCAATACCATCTGCTTATACTGTGGTTATACAAAATTCAAACTTTACAAAATTGTAAAAAAATATTAACTTGATCTCGTCGCTATATGGCTGAAATAATGCCGATGCGATGTTAAATTTTAACTCACTCACTCCAAGTAAATATTTTGTTTTGCACTTGATGAAAAGTAGTGGTTCCTTCCAGGTGGCACCAGGGATTTTCACATTGATATATACAAGATTAAGTACCTCGCCTCCAGTTAACATCAAAATGCATTTCAGCCTTATTATTTACATTCTATGGCATTCCTAGTGAGGTAAATACAAGCACAATGCAGTATGGTATTAACACGAAAGTCGTGAGAAAGTTATATCAGTCACAAGTATTTTTTAAGAACAAATGAACTTCAAACAAATCAACGTCAACAAATCAAACCAAATTAGCCTATGCTACTCTTCAAAAGTAGCTCATTGTGACCTGCCACTGATATAAGATTGACATTGCTAATTGATAACCTAAATCCTTGACATGATTGATCAATGTGCCTAATGATTTCACAGGGATATGAAGGAGATATACATAATATGCTATCCTTGAGATGTCGAAGAACTGCATGGTTTCAAAGACAATGTGCGGAAGTGGTGGTGAATCTCCATCAACTGTTGTTCAATATCGGTTCTAAATTCTATTGACACGATGTCCTAGCATATTCAAAATTGAAGTAAAATATAGGCGTATGTGAAGCCCGAGGCATGGAAAATCCTATACGCCCAAACCAGGTTTACGATGATGATGCCAAAAATACGATGGGCAACACGAAACTTTTTCAGATGGGTGGCCGTATGATCAGACTTTGGTTTGGATATTTTAGAGACACCTATACTGGGATCATCATTGCAAAGTTGCAGGACTAGTTTCAGTCATCATATTTAAACTAGAAAAGCTCACACGTCTCGATATAGGTTCAAATGACCTAAAGGTTTAGTTGAGCGACAATGCAAACCAGGTTATTAAAAAGACAAACACGCCTTAGAGGTGAAGGATGCACAACAGGCCCAACAATACTGGTCAGATAAGATACAGGATTGAGTTTGAACAATATATGGGGGCATATATTGAAAATTAACCCGAATGTGTTATTTGACTTCCTTGGGTCAACGCACCTGCATCATATTTTTTCTTCGGAAAGAAGCTGCTAATGGATATGTGGGAGAGATGCACCTCCGTTGGTGTTCTGGTATCTGAAAAAAGAACAGTAATATATAAAAAAAAAAAAATATACATGAGATTGCAGCCCCATCCCCACTTTTACCTGGAGGACCCAGACATGTTTACCAGAAATGTGACTCATGCTGCATTTGACAGGATCAGGTGACCAGTAGTTATCATCATAGATTTGGATCCCAAATGTTATGCAGTACAACTTAGCCCTATTCCTCTATCTACTCTTGGAGACACGGGAGGCCCATCTGTCTAAGAAACAGCAAATCGCTTTGCAGAGTTGCGTTCGCCCCGAATATGTTTCTAGATATGTCAGCACCATACACGTGCCCGTGGGTTTCACGGAAACCGTAAACGTCTGAGACGCCGTGATATAACTGTTAAAAACGGCGTTAGACCCAACTCACTCACTTACAAGTATTGAACGATTCCGATCTCATGATTTGCAAAGGTACAGGTTTCATGAAACTTCCTATAAATCTCACGGACTGAAGCCAGCATGTCAGTATGTCCTAGGGCACTTCTCTAGACTTCGGGATTGATTCCAACAAATGTTACTAACGTCTGGCCGGCCCTGTGATCCAGTGTTTGTTTAATTTGCCACAGCTTTATAACGGGGGTCTACAATTAATAGAGTATGGACCAGACAATCCAGTGTGTGTGTGTGTGTGTGTGTGTGTGTGTTGGGTTATGTCATCTCCTGTTGACTCTTGTTTGGCTAAGCGACGGGTCAAGATTTCAGCTGCATGACGAGCGACCAACGTTGCTATGAATCGACAGATTTGTGGCAATTTAATATCTCTCTAGATTTGTGGTGAGTTTCGTGACTATGATCATATATACACAGTGATAGTCAATCCTGATAGATAGAGCTACAAGTTAATAACTCTCTCGCGTCACAACTACATTCAAATCAGTTCAATGCTTTTTAAGAATAGAACAACGCTTTGTGTAGAATATTGTGAATCGGAAAGTGCTGCAACAATACCTCAACAAACACTTTACACAGGGAAGAACAATGAAAACAATCAAGAGCAAAACTTACTTTCATATTGACAAACTGTACAGTCATGTTGAGACGATTCATATAATGTTTACTGTTATAACAAACACTGTAACTGAAGAAATAATTTATATCAAGAACTTAACAGAAAACCTTCTCCAGCTATATCTCTGTCTACCCCTCCCCCCCCCCCCCCCCCCCCCCCCCCCCCTCTCTCTCTCTTCTGATATCAATACTTATATTAATTAATTAATCTCTTTACACAATTGTTTGTTATACTTTCTGTGTCCACTATCTGAGTCCGAACAAAACAGTGGTTGATAGCATGAGCGACTATGGTGGTGCGATGGCATACATTCAGACAGCTACAGGTTACACAATGATCTCACTCTTTGTCTGTTCATACAAACAAACATCGGTTACTTGACACCTACCCTGTCCAGTCATTTTGAATTTACAAAAATAAGTCCAAACACAAGACCAAATAGCGTCCATTCCAATTTGGAATGAACGTTGGAATGCTTTGGAAAGATCGCTCATTCCAAACTTTCAAAAGCTTGGAAAGATCGATCTTTCCAGAAAATCCAAAATTGCAAAGGCAACATTTCCAAACATATTTCCAACACTGGAAATGTTTGGAATGACTTGGAATGGTTTGGAATTGTTTGGAAATATGGTTAGAAGGAACAAGTTAAAATATGTTTTATCAGTAGTTTGAACAATAAAAAGGCTATGAATTAGGGGCTTTAGGGGTTGCTTATATAGTAATTTTGAGATTTGGAAAGAATGCCAAGAGTGGGTGGGGGACGAACTAAGGGAGCTGTGTGTGTTGGGTGGTTTTTAGATAAGGTAGTTTTGGTTTAATTTACTCTATTTGGGGTTTAAAAGCGACTTATTAGTCCTGTTTTAATTAGGTATAAACCTAAGGCTTTGAATTTTTCTAATTTATTTTGTGGATTTAGGATTGATTCTAGTGTAAGTCCGGTTTTAAGATTTAGGGTGGTCTGTAGTGTTGTTCGGTGTGTTTGGTAGTGTGTGCAGTGAATGAGTACGTGTTCTTGTGTTTCTTGTTGTTTGCAATGTGGGCAGTTTGCTGTTGTGTGTAGATTAGCTATTTTTCGGTCATTATTTAGTTTGGTGTAGCCTGTTTGTAGTTTAGTAATTATTCTGTCGATTTTTTGGGATTGGTGTAGTATTTTTGGTTTATTTAGTTGTATTTTTAGTACTTTCCTGATTTGGCTATTTAAGTTTTGGTATATATTTTGCCATTTTTTGTTGATTTTTTGTTTAGTGAGACTTTTTATTTCTGATTTTGAGCTGGGTAAGTTTAAGCTTATTTCTGGGAGTTAAAGGGATAATTTTGCTGCTTTATCTGCCTTTTCATTTCCAAAGATTCCTACGTGTTCCTATTTGTTTACCTGCCCTAGTTAAGTTGTTTGAGCTATTGAGTATTTGATTTATTAGTTTGGGGTGGTTTTTAGTGTTTTTTATTTTTGAGGGCTTGTAGTCCACTAAGGGAGTCGGTTAGGATGAGGATTTTTTGTTGTTTTTTAGATTGCTGATTGTGTAGTGCTGAGACAACTACTGACCGATATAGAAGATTTAACGTGCGCTTTCCGACTGCAGCGTATTTCGCACACGGGCCTGGCCGGACCATTTAGTGTATTCCGAAAAGGGTGAAAGTGGTGTGTGCAACCCAAGAGGGGGCTTTTAGGAGTTGCTTATATTGAATTTTTAAGATTTTTAAATTTGGAATAAATGCCAAGGTGGGTGGAGGAGGGAACTAAGGTAGCCGGGTGAGGTGGGTGTTTGTATGTTTATTGGATTTTGGATTGGTAGATTAATTAGTTTTAGAGGCGCTTAATTAGGTCTGTTTTGATTATTAATACCCCTAGGGCCTTGAAGTTTTCTAGTTTATTTTGAGGGTTTAGTATTTCATCTAGAGTAGGAACCTTATTTAGGTTGAGGGTGGTTTGTAGTGTGTTTGGTAGTGGGTGCAGTGGATGAGTGTGTGTTCTGTGGTTTCGGGTTGTTTGCAGTGGGGGCAGTTGCCTGTGGTGTGTCTTTTAAGTTTTTTTAGGTGGTTATTTAGGTTCGTGTGTCCTGTTTGGAGTTTTGTAATTAATCTGTCAATTTTTTTAGAGGGGTGTAGGATTTTAGGTTTGGCTAGTGGTTTTCTGAGCACTTTTTTGATTTGGCTATTTGAGTTTTGATATTGATTATGCCATTTTTTGGTTATTTTTTGTTTGTTTACACTTTTAATTTCTGATTTTGAGATGGGTAGGTTTAGGCTTATTTCTGGTATTTTAAGAGATAATTTAGCTGCTTTATCGGCGCTTTCGTTGCCGTAAATTCCTACGTGGGCGGGGATCCACAAGGAGGTTATTTGTTTGCCTGCTTTTGTTAGGTCGTTGGAGCTTTTAAGTATTTGGTTTATTAATTTAGGTCGTTTTTTGGTATTTTTGTTTTGGAGGGCTTGTAGTCCACTAAGGGAGTCGGTGAGAATTAGGATTTTATTGTTGTTTTTAGATTATTGGTTATGCTGGGCTGAGGCCATGCCAATAAGTTCGGCCGTGAATATAGATTGGTTGTTAGGGAGTCGGTAAGATTGTGTGGATATAACTGGTTGTATGGTATGGACTCCGAAGCCTGTGTGGTTGGAGATCGGGTCTGAAGAACTGTCAGTGTATATGTGACACCCATTTGGCCAATTTTCGTGTATGTATGCAAGTGTGGTGGTTTTGGCTATGTTTGGGTCGGTTTGTTTATTTATTTGGTTAGCTAGCGTTGTGTCTATTTTGGGTATTTTGAGTTTAGGGGTGAAGATATTTGATTTTTTGCAGTTTTGTTTAAGATTTTGAGTTTGGTGTTCATTGAGGTAGTTAGTTATTCTTTGGGATATTGGGGTGAGTAAGGGGTGTTTGCGAGCTAGAGTTTGGTTTCTTGGGCTAATATTTTGGTTAATTATGAGACAACTAATAGGTCTCAAGATTAAGTATTCGGCTGGATGGTAGCTGCCATTTAATTACAAAACAGACAGTCGTCTAGATGGCTCACATGTAAGTGCGCCGACATGTGCCTAAGATCATAAAATGGACAATCTTTGGTAACATCTAATTTATTGTTGTCTCACGCCAGAGCTGTGAATAATTCTGTTCATTGAACAATTGGAATTCAGGAAGTTATCAATAATTGTTTTACTTAACATAAGATAAGATAAGTTGTTTACAACATAATATTATGATGTCAGGACGTACTACAGTCAAAACCATATATTTTAAAATCAATTTAATGACAGACTATGATTTCCAAGTCCCATTTAGCAAGTCAATGAGGTATCAGTTTCACCACATGTGCACAGACCGCCTATACTTATATATATATTTTTCATAACTTTTCTCCAGTTAAAGTCCTATCCTCTTATCAAAAAATCTGTGAGAGTGATCATCATTAACGAAACTCATTCTCGTCAAAGAATACAGAACAAATGAAGAATCAGATGCATACATTTATTGCCATGCTTCATTCATCACGAAGTAGGTTTACATACATTTGTGAATAGCACTTAAACTGTGATAATGAATTTTACCATTGTCCATATTATATTATAAATATTAACCATAATATGGATTTCCGAATATATAAACAACTCCAAACGTTGATATTTCAGACAAAAACAAAGTCAGCTGTCTTTTAACGTTCAGGGCAAAAGGGTTTGCTTTCACAATTGAGGGGGGGGGGGGGGGGGGGGGAATTCGTCTGCTCTAACTGCCTTCACAAAAACATTCCAGCCCTTAATTACCGAGGCAGCTGTGACGTAGTAGCATTACATTCGCTGCGTTTGCAGCATATAAGATGTGTAATCTGTGGAGTGACTAAAGTAATATTACGGCTGAAATCGTTGCTCAGAAATGTTCAAATCTATCTTCAGTAAATCGTGAAATTAATGCGAGCATGACATTTATGCGAAAAATGCGATCGTCAGTCCCTCTGATTATTTTAATATGTTTCATTTCA